CCTATCTGCTGGTGTTTAGAAAAAAATACTTTTTTTAATTTGAAGAATTAAACCCTGTGTAATAGCAATTTAAAATTATATCTTTCTAACACCTTCGTATATGTAAATACCTACCTTTGAACAGTTTATTTGCAAATTACAGGCATAAGAATATACGTAAATCTACTTTCCATAAGAGTTGACTCACCTTTTGATATTAAAATACAAATATCACCTGCAAGTAATGTAGGAACAATATACATATACGCTATCTGAATTCATTTGAAACAATTCTAGCTAGTTAGATCCCAGTGGTTAAAGTTAGATTATACAGGGTGTCATTGAAATGGTGTAAAAAATCAGGGGGTGATAGTACTCCTAAAAATAGTAAAAAAAGTTTCTATAAGTATAGGGGGGAAAATGCATATTAAGGGAGTTAGGGGCACTGAAAGGGCGAATTTAAAAAACGGTTGTTTTGAAATGGCAGGCTTAAAAAACGACATAAAATTTCGAAAAAAAATTCTCTGCCATAAATTTTGACCCTAAATCAAATGGTGATACTAAAAAATTATTTGGAAAAGCGAAAAGGGTAGTTTTTGCAAGGGTAGGGGGTTATTTCGTGAATAACTTTTTTGAGGATATTTTTTTGCAACGTGGGTTCATTAAAAACGAAATAAACCAATTACCAAAATTCCTTATTAAAATAATGCATTCCTTCATTCATAGTAAATGTTTAAAGTGACCACCATTCATTTCAATGCAGACATCTGCTCCAAGATCTGTGTACCTTGTGGAATATCCTTGGTGTTGTCCAAATTTGATTGGAACAGTCAATAATGCGTTGCCGTAGTTGCCCTTCAGTATTAATCGGCACTGAGTAAACCAAAACTTTCAAGTGGCCCCAGACGTAGAAATCAAGTGGATTATTTCGTTTTTTAAAGCAATAAGATGTTTTAAAAATCATGAAATTTTGATTTTTCAATTAATTATTTGATAACTGCTTGGTTACTTTTGAACCGCCATAACTTTCATAAGTTTATGTTGATTAACCAGTTAGCAAAACCCATCAGAGCAAACTCTTTGCCTTCAATTTTCTCGAAAACCATCGCTCTGGGCGATGTGCAACAAGAGAGCCTTTTTTATAGGAAAAAGTACGTAGTTTTCAAAAAATGAACCCACGTTGCAAAAAAAATAACCTCAAAAAAGTTAATTACGAAACAACCCCCTGCCCTTGCAAAAACTACCCTTTCCGCGTTTCCAAATAATTTTTGAGTATCACAATTTAATTTAGGGTCAAAACTTATGGCAGAGCATTTTTTTCGAAATTTTATCTCGTTTTTTAAGCCTGCAATTTCAAACCAACCGTTTCTTAAATTCACCCTTTCAGTGCCCCTAACGCACTTAATATGCATTTTTCGCCCTATACTTATAGGAACTTTTTGTACTATTTTTAGGAGTACTATCACTCCCTGATTTTTTTACACCATTTCAATGACACCCATAGGAACCATGTTGGTTTAAAATTTAAATATCTGTATAGTATTAAAGTATACTCTCTTCCGATAAAAATCAAAACCTTTCTACCCGAAGGTGTAAGAAAGTAGGTATAGTAAGTAACACCAAAATAACTAATGAAATAATGAAAAAAAAATCAATCTACATCAAAATTTGCGATGAAGAATATTTATTTTTTAGTTTAAATTGTAATATCACTGCAATATTAACACATTACACATCAACTGTATTCATCACTCGGCTTTATTCTCTATTTTTTATATTTTTGCATTCTAGATATACCGGGTGCGTCACAAAAGTGTCTCTCCTCTACAACTTTTGGTATGTTAGTATTATAACATAAATTATTATAATTGATTGACGTATTCAATTGTTTTTGTTCACTTCCTGTTTCACCGGAAATGACTACAATTTTTGAATTTTATATATGGCACTCCCGCCGGTATATTTTAACTTTATTCGATAGAACATCACACTCAATAAAATGACATATCAAATGTCAACTTTTGACATTTTCTCATATGGTTTATTTGAAATTGTAACATGCTGTTCATGTGTTTATAACGACAATTTGACTCGAAATACCGAGAGTGTTGTACAAATTATTCATAAAAAATGCTTTTTCCAAATATGTTAATGAGTCCCTCGTTCCATTTGAAAAACTGAAGATATGATTAAAAATACGAGTGGGGCATTTTTTAATCGGTCAAGACAAGACACGAAAAATATTAGACGATAAAATCTATTTTTCCAATCCCCGCTTTGATTAAAAATTATTGTTTTTAACATAACCATGGTACCCTAGATTAAAATTTAAAATATAATAATTTTTTAAGCCAAAATTTTCTATCGAATAAAGTAAAAATATACCGGGGGTGCCATTTAAAAATCAAAAGTTGTAGTCATTTCCAGTGAAACAGGAAGTGATCATAAACAATTGAATACGTGAGTCAATCCTAATTTATGTCATATACTAATTAATAATAAATATACCAAATCTCGTTTCTTTCTAAAGTTATAGGGGTGAGCCACTTTTGAGACGCACCCGGTAAAAAAAATCTCTATTTTTTTCTAGACATAACCTAGCCAAATGAGAAGAGCTTGTCATTTCAAAAAATAACATGTTTATTCTTTACTTTGAATAAGAAGACTAATGAAAGAGCATAATGCTATCCATGTATTCATGCATGGTGGGCGGAAAAAGGACTCTAGGGTGGGGATCCTTGACAGTTCTGTTTGACGACTCATTTGACACATCTGAATTTGATTTGAAATTTTGTGGATTTGTCAGTATTTACGGAGCTTATTTTATGTTATTTATTATTTATTCTACTACTGATAGTTGTATAAAGGTAGTAAATCTAGATGGAAATTGTGGCAGAACTTAAATTAACAGTGACACTATCGCGATTTATCGAAAAAGACTCTAAAATAGTTGATTGTGTAGCGTGCGGTAGATCTCGGCAAAAATCGAGTGAAATAATGGAACAACTTTTCGCTAATATACATACGTGTAAACCGATCATTTATGAAATTCACTTAAATTAACTAATTATATATTTTTTCTTGCATTTTTGCTTTTATTTACTACTTGTCAAAGATTAGATGTCAAAGAATTTAGATACGTCAATTTGACTTACCTGCTTCAGTAGCGTATCGGATGTTTATGGTTATAAATAATTATTATAACTTATCTATTTTTATTAGAATTTGATATTTTTATAACAATTTTAATAACTACAAAACATTTATTCACAATGTAAAATAAAAAAAAAATTATTGAGTCTACCCCACGTCTATCCTACACGATAGTTTTACATTTTTTAAATAAAATTAGAACGGCACTGATAAACCGGAATTTAAGTCGGCCATATTTGAGGCCCATCGCGGTGGACCTAAGGTTCTTGATATGCTCCTTCCTTAGTCTTCTTATTCAAAGATTCTTTAGTTAGGTAAAATTGTCTTCAAAAAATACCGCTTGAAAAAACAACCATTTTTATATCACGGAAAGAAAGTAGGTAATGTTACAGTTTCGTTTAGTTTGGCAATGAATTGAGTGGGGCTTTTGTGAGATAAGTGGCGGTAAAATAATTTTTTAAATACAATTTTTCTAAATACCTAATTTTAGTTACTGAAATATGTATAACCCAAAAATGACTATTTAAATTAAAATAAATTGAATTTCAAATTTTTATTCCATGAAAAACTATTGTTACAGATTGGCCCCTAAATGTAGTTTTTAATTTAAATAGTTTTTTTTTACATAAAACAGATACCTATTATGAATATCTTTTGTGCTTTTTGAAAAATTGTTTAATTAAAAAAATATATGAAACTTAAATTCATAGTGTAAAAATTTAAATAAAAGTCTAAAATTCTAAAACTAAATTAATTATTATTTTACTTTGTTAGGCTTAAGGATTCATTGATTGGCATTTTAGATAAAATAACAACAAAAAACAGAATTTCTTTTCTAAAGAAAACGGTTTAAGAAATATCCAAAATGAGAAAAAAACTAATTATTGAATTTTAAAATCTACTAAAAAATAAATATATATTTTTGTTGCGACAATGAAAATTTTAAATTTTTCTTATAAAAAATTGTAAATGCGTAAATATTTGACTTTAATCGACTATTCCTTTGTTATGTAGGATTAAAAATAAAAATGTTTAAAAGGCACGCGTTTTTATCGCTTTTAAATTAAACCAAAATATAAACTCAATTATTGTATTAAAGAACAAAAAATGTTTAGAAATACTTTTTAATTAATAACACAGAAACCATTAATAAGAAAAAAAGTACAGAAAATGAAGCTATCAAATTAAATAATATTTAATTTGATAAAAAATAAAGTAAAAAGAAATAATAATAAAAGTAAATAAAATAATATGAAATATATTATATTTCTCTAAATAGAACTAAAAAAAATTGGGAAAAATTTGTAACATCGGTTTCTAAAAATCTCAAAATATTTCATATTTTGATTAACAGATTGTTAATTAAATATCTCAAATTTTTCGATATATAAAATATAACAAAAATTAGAACAAATTAATATTTGATTTTAAAAAAGTTGCGTTGGTGCTGCACACGCAAAAATAAAAAAAAATAGCCAATTTTTAAATTGTTTTTAATATTACAAAAATGTTTTTGGTAAACCCCTATATAATAAAATAAAATCAACTTAGAATAATTACCAATTTACTACTTTAAATTAAGAAAAAAACAATAATAAATTTGCAATGTCTGTTTCTAAGGCAATAATCTCGGAATATTTCATTCTCTTGAATGAAAATCACCAAAATATCAATATTTTGAATAAACCGAATAAACTATCTAGCCCCCCCGTCATGTTTTGCTGTTTTCCCCGACTCTTCTGCCGAAAATTTTGCGAAACATCAATGGACATTATTTCCTAGCCCGGCACATTTCATCATCTTATCGGCAAACCGCCGCGTATTGTTACATCATGCGGCGGGCAACGCCTGGGCTTGCTATAAAATACCGGCAAGCCACTGCTTTTCATTCATTCAACTCTCGATACAGTTCGAAGCAGCTTACCGAGCACCGTTGCCGAGTCTACCGAGATTTCCTCGCTAATTCCCCGAATTATTTCTCTTCTTTTTTCGTTTTTCGAAAAGATTTTCGTGTTTTTTTCTGTTTAAATCGTGGTTTATTTGGATTAAAATGGAGAAAGCCAGTTTTAACGTTGACTATTCGAAATTTATTAACCTGAGAGCGTCGAGAAGAAGACCTGCCCTAACTAGAGAGCTGAGTAAGTTTTATATTACTATTTGTTTTGGTTTTATTTATTTTTTGTTTGTTTTAAATACATTCTTGTATTTTTAAAGAATAATTTTTAAAGGCATTAATAGTTTTATTTTAACAATCCAAGAAAATAGGTCTTCAAACACGAAATTTTTGCTTCAGAAGGGGTGAAATAAATAAATAAAATGATTTTTTCGAAATTTCGGAGCAACGGTAAGGATTACAAAAAAAAAGTTGACATAAGAATTGTAGAGCGTTAAATTTTACATAAAAATGATTTCTATACTTTGTTTGCTCAAATCAAAATTAGCCGAAATAGGGTGACTAGAAGCTAGGGGATGATGGTAGATCATAAGTTGCTGAAAAATCCATGTATTTGACATTTTTTTTCAATTTGCTCTAAAAATTATAAATTTTAATTCACATTCTTAAAATCTCACTCCCGAGAAGGGGTGAAAAATATAAATTAAGTAGTTTTTTCGAAATTTCGGAGAAACGGTGAAAACTTTTAAAAAAATAGCTTCTAGCCACTTTATCTCGGTTAATATTGATTTGGTAAAAAAAATTATAGAGATATTTTTTATGTAGAATTTAACGCTTCTACAACTCTTATTTAGACTTTTTTTCCTACTCCTTACTGTTCTTCCGAAATTTGGAAAAATCATTTTAATTATTTATTTCACCCCTTCTCGGGGGTGAATTTAAAAAAAATCTTTTACAATTTGTTTTTAGATGTTTCAAAATAAAACTTATATCAAAAATTCAAAACAATTTCGTATACAAAATAATATAAAAATATTTAGAAGTAACACCTTGTATGTAATAATTATACAGGGTGGTCCGAACTGTATTCCGGAAACTTCGGCAGTACATTCTGCAGATAAAAATATGTAAAAAAGTTTGTATAAACGTATGTCCTAAAATGCTTAGTTTCGGAGATACAGGGTGTAGAAGTTTCATTTTTATTTCAATTTTTTCCAAATAATTTCGGAAGAAACGTCAATATTTGGATGAAAATTGGTGTCTGGGAGTTATTTGACATGGGAAATTTGATTTTAATGTCAAAATGACTCTTACTTGTAGAGGGCGCCACCTACATGTGTTTTAACTGTTTTGAAGAGTAATAACTTTTCGTCCGTACCTGTATAAAATTATGGAGTGATAAAATATACATTTCCATGACTTTTTATGTAAAAAATGTCTCTTGGTAAAAATCGCTACGAGCAACCGTTCTCAAGATATTTAGAATAAAAACAGTCAATACATGTCATTATTGACAAAAAATAAACACGTTGAGTAGATAGTTTCTTGACTGAAATAATAAATTTGGAAAACATTAATTTTTTTAAATTAATCATAAACTTTTTACGAAAAAATGATGATAAAACAGTTTTTGTTAAACTTTTGTCACAAAAACATTTCAAATTTATGATTTCAGTCTAATAACTATTTAGTCAACCATGTTTAATTTATGTCAATGATGATAGCTATTGATAATTTTGATTTCAAATATCTCGAGAACCATTACTCGTAGCGATTTTTACCAAAAGACATTTTTTACATAAAAAACTTCGCAAATATATATTTCTGTACTTAGTAGTTTTATACAGGTACGGACGAAAAGTTATTATACTTCAAACCAGTTAAAGATATGTGGGTGGCGCCCTCTAGAAGCAGGAGTCATATTGACATTAAAATCAAATTTCTCATGTCAAAGAACTCTCAGACACCAATTTTCATCCAAATATTGACGTTACTTCAGAAATTATTTGGAAAAATCTAAATAAAAATGAAACTTCTACACCCCGTATCTCCCAAACCAAGCATTTTCGGACATACATTTATAGGAATTTTTTTACTTATTTTTATCTGCAGAATATGCTGCCGAAGTTTCCGGAATACAGTTCGGACCACCCTGTATATCGTAAAACTATGGTTACGGAGGCTCGTTGAATTTGACACTTTATGTCAGTTTAATAACAAATTCTCGTACTTTTGTGCTTAGATGTAAAAGTGCTTTACTTTTGTGCCAAGGCGTTAAAATGACGTTTTTATATTGCCAATCGCGTCGCAAAAATTATTACTTTTGTGACGTTTGAAAAAACAAATATTTTTTGCTTAAAGTTTGAAAACCACTGGATTTTTTTCTGTGTGTTTCCTTTCTCTAAATTTAATCTATTTGTTTTTCCATATTATCATGATATTATTATTTTTCCGAAAATAACCTTATTTCCTAAATCTTTTATTTCGTGAGAAAAAAAAACTGATAGTGTGTTTCTGAGATCGAAGTATACCACCACTAAAAATATGTGCACTTATTTAAGACTCACCCTATATATTTTTGTAAACTTATGATATTTTTGTAAAACAAATTAGAATTCATGACGGAGTTTTTAAAGAGTATTTTGCTATTCAAATAACAAACAAATTATTAATATATGTTAATTCAAAATATAGCTATAGTTAATAATTACAATATTAACATAAAAAATAAGCAAATTACTAAAAAACAGACTAGAAAACTGAAACATGTGTTTTTTTATGGATATTATCAAAAAATTATTTAAATAAAACGTATTGTATGTTACTAAATTTAGCACACATTTAATAAATAATTTCCTAATTTCCATAAGCTGATGAAATTTTGCTAAATCATTATAATATAAGGATCGCAAAATAAAAAATGTCAAAAGTTCAAAACATCTAGTATTAGCCTAGATTAAAGTTTACTATAATCTGGGGTATTACTATAATTTTATTATTTAAACAAAAAATATCAATTTGACCCGATATTTCGCAATAATTAACTTTTTATCGTTTTATTCGTTCAATTATATATTTTTTTTATTTAAATAATTGTATTAAAAAAAATACAGATTTCTAAGAAAAGACAGATATTATTATTAACATATTCAAAATATTGCTAAATTGTTTTTTTCTGATAAACTAGTTAGGTACAGTATAATAACTTGCTAATAAAATATTCACTAAGGACTTCTATTGCCTTAATTTGTAGTACCTATTTGATACTATCAATGTTTGGATTACTGTTCTAATGTTCTCTATTTATTGTTACAATATGCAAGAGTTTTTTTTTCAAAAGCTTAATGTGACATCAATATAATTTAAAAATTAATAAAATTACCTACTCCAGTAATCCAAAAATACAAAAAATGTTATTTTTTTTACTCTGTTACAGCCAAGAGACAATATGGAGCACCAAAGGAATCCATCTCACTGGCCGAAGGTATGCCCAACGAGGTTACTTTTCCCTTCCAAGCGATGAATTTGGTGCTGAAAGACGGCACTACCATCAGCATTCAAGGCCAACAACTCCATACAGCTCTACAATACATTCCCTCTCAAGGTTACCCAGCTCTACTGAAGAAATTGAGAGATTTTATGATGGAAATCCATAATCCTCCATGCTGGGAGGGCAGGGATATCATTATGACCAACGGATCACAAGAAGGTATCAGCAAGACTCTGGAAATGTTAGTTGAAGATGGAGACACAGTATTGACCCAAGATCCACTCTACGCAGGCACTGAAATTATTGTAAGTTTTTTTTTATTTTTTTTAAATAAAAAAATACAGTTAATATCAAATAAACTCTTAGTCACGTGATTAAGCTTGATCGGCACAGCGTTGCCCACTTTTACATATTTTCTTTTAATCAAAATATTTTAGGAAACAAAAATAATTTAATTATAAATTTATAAACAGTTATTATTTACATCAACCAAACTCACTTTAACAGCACTTAAGGGACATAAAGTGCCATTACTACCGCTTTCCCGTTCAAAATATTCTAATAAAGTTCTGCGACGAGTTTTTTACGGCTATTAAGCTAACTGGTATACTTCGCACTAAAAGAGGTTCTAAAAAGAACAATGTTCGCCTGCAAGGTCTGCTAGTAAGAATTTTTAAGCTTAAAATATTAGAACACAATAATTCATTTAAACCAGAAACTCGTAATAGAAAATTAATGTGTCAAAGCGTAAAATAAATTAATAAATCTGGCAAATTAACTTTTTTTACAGCAGGGCTACCACCTGAATTCCCAGCGGGAAATTTAAATTGCAGTTAGTCAGTCGGACGCCGAATATGTCCATGGTTTGCAACATGAATTTAAAAATTGCGTCCTCGATGACTAAAAGTTTAATTGGTATCGTTTATACAGGGTGTCCCAGAAATAATTGCAAGTATTTTATCTGGTAGTATAGTTCAACCCCAGAAACACGCCTATGAGTTTTTTTCGCAAATAAAAAAAATTGAAAATTCAAAATTATTTGAAAAAATTTTTGGATTTTTTTTTAGGTTTTAGTTAAAAATCATAATTTCTTTATAATATGGTAACATAGATATTAGATTAAATACAGACTATAAGAAAGAAAACCCAAAAAAGATACAGTGGTTCTCAAAATTTTAGCAAAAAATCATTTTTTTGGAAATTTTCAAAGTAAAAATTTGAAAAACGATAAAGAGAAAATATATATTTCTTTTATCGAGATCTACCACCCTTTAAAATACTTGCACTTATTTCTGGGAGACCTTGTATATAGATAGATGTAACCATGGTACAAAGAATACAAGGTATGATATTGCGCAGGTTGGTCGCTACGTCACAGGTGATAACAGGCGCTATTGGTCAGCACGCTCCGCGCGCCAGTTCAAATCGTCAAGATATTGTTATAAACCTGTTTTTTTGTTTATATACCGTCATTGAATTATCGCTAAGCAAGTTACTGTGGAGCAGTGCGTAAGGAGTCGGGCTAGGAAGCGAGAGACCCGAGTTCGAATCTCGGCCGGGACATAACTTTTTATTTATTTTTTTAAATACTGTTGTATTCTATAGTTTATTTTTGTAGTATAAAAAAAAAGAACTATTTATTCCGTTATTAATATAAATTGATTGTTAGTACAATACCTCATTTAATATAAAATAATATTCTACTTTTTGAAATGTATCGGGCCCTAATTGAACCTAAAAGTAATATATTTTTAGTGATATACCATATTGTAAATTATTTAATATTTCAGTCACTTAAAAAGTTAATTTGCATTGAATAATTGCCTACCATTAAAGGAAATTTGAGCTATATAATCCTTGATGGGCATATTCTGGGTATGCAAATACTTCCTCTAAATTTTGGGTTTCGTTCAACCGATTTATTCTCAAAACCTGAAACATCTACATATAAAAGAAAGCACAGGTCACTAATTATAATAGACTTCACCCTTGGAATTACTTCTATCACAATTACAATACATTCATCTGCATTGGCATTTTCTACTTTTCGATGGGAAACTTCAACTTCCCAACATTTTTTAAATGATGTAACAATTCCTCTTGTGGTTACTTTTCCATAGATATCCTCATCTCTGTCCTCATGTGAATTCAGAGGCAATGAACATCAAAATTATTTACTATAAACATCGCCAACTAAAAACCTAATAAACAATTTTATACGGAATATAGAAATAAATTTACTATTCTTACCTATTATTATCGTCCAAATCCATGTTAATAGATAATTATTTTTAAATATATTTTTGGAACTGCTGTTTTTAGTAATTATTAAATTAAACGAACGTTAAAAAGTCTTAAAAATAAACAATTCTTAACCATAACCCCAAAAAATGCAGATCTCCTGTGACCTTTCTTTATTTTTTATTTATTCATTATTTTCCTAGTGACGTCACAGGTGGTATGCGCGATCATACCTTGTATTCTTTGTACCATGTTGCCGACCAATGGTGCCGTTTATCACCTGTGACGTAGTGACCAACCTGCGCAATATCATACCTGTATTCTTTGTATCATGGGCTTTTCCTAAGTAGAATAAGGACTCTTAATCTTTCTAAAGAGGTAACAAGAACCAATTATGCCTATAATTTTGTTGTTGTTCTAATTCTTACGTGGCCCATCACAAAATAACACAAAGCACTAACAGCAACAATTATTTTTTTCAGCTGAAACCGTTCAAACCGTCCCTAATCGGTATAGAACAAGACGAGCATGGCATAATACCCAGCAAACTCATAGAAGCCCTGGAGTGCTGTAAAGCGTACACAGAGGAGGGCGGAGGGAGAATGCCGAAAGTCATCTACCTAAACCCGACGGGCTCCAATCCAACCGGGGTTACAATGCCGCTGGAAAGACGCAAGGAGGTCTACGATATATGTTGCAAGTACGACCTCCTCATCCTCGAAGACGATGCTTACTATTTCCTCCATTTCCTCGATGAGCATCCGGTGTCTTTCCTGTCTTTGGATACCGAAGGAAGAGTGATAAGATTCGATTCTATGTCAAAGGTGCTGTCGTCTGGATTAAGGTTGGCTTGGTTGACTGCTCCGAGACAGTTGGTGCAGAATATTGAACTGCATATCCAGAGCTCCATACTGCATCCAAGCACTTTGTCTCAGGTAAGGTTTAAATAACGGTTTAATATATTAAAGGATTTTTCTGGAAAAAAAACGGAAAATTTTGAAGGTACTTTTTTAAATTCTTCACTTAAGGTTTGATTGCTAACTTTTATGGAATAGTGATAAACATACAGTATGTCCCCGGATTGTCTTTACAAGAGGAAAAGCTGTATTTTGAGAAAAATGCATTCTTCATAAAAAATGATGCTTGTTCTAAAATGGTCAATCCAGTTTATACTTTTCCAAATTTCCATACCATTTTAGAGAAAATTAAAAAAAAAAACATGAAAATATTGTTGAATTTTTCTAAGTTGTAAAAATCAAAAGGTGTGTCTATGGTAATATAATTTTGTTGTCATTCTTTGATAGATTTTTATTGATTGAATATTAATTAACGTTATATTTTTTATAACGTTAAGCTAGCGTTAGTCAGTCGTATCCATAGAAAAAGTCTAATATTTAGCTTATAAAACAACCAACTTTTGGTTTCTAACCATAATTTCTCTAGATGGAAGATAATCAAAAGCCACAATGACATTTCTCGCAAATTTTGAAGTATAATTAGTGGAAAAGTTAAAAGTTTGATAACTTTTTCTACTAATTTAAATCGTCTACCACTAATTTTAACGTTCTGAATGCTTACATTGAAATTAAAGGAACAAACTGCTACGCTAACTGAAACCACTAATTTATTCAACTAATTGCGAGGTTTCTGAAGCTTAATCCAATGATATAAAAGTCCAAAATTAAATAGTTTGAAAACCTTTTCTAGTTTCTATAAAAATGTTCTTAATTTCACACCGAATGGTAAAACATACAAATTTAAGTGATAGCCTACACATTACAAAAAAAAATTATAATTTTTTACATTCCAGAAAAATCTGTTATTAGAATCATCATTTATATTACATCTATCACTTCATACCTACGTACAAGAATTCTCTTTGTAAAGGGGTGAATACTTCGAAAAACAGTAGTGTTAAAAATTTTTCTACTGTTTTTTTTCTTACCAAAAGACCACTCCCGTATTCAAAAAAAGTTAATTTATTGATTTTTTCTCCAAAATTTCTTTAATAAACCTCTTATTTCATCATCCATTTCGTCATCTCTTATCCTAACCCCGTATCACCAACGTATATTTCTCGAAAATCTTTTTACATCTATCTAGCAGTGAAAAATAAAAATAAAATCATTGACCTATGCGGTGACCCAACGAAATTGAAACACAAAACATATTAGCAAATATGTTTTGCCAATATCTCGCCAAATGGTCAACAGGCGTTCTTGTCCGTTGACCTATAACATATAAAAATAATCAATAAATATGTTTTCTCGTCGAAACCACTTCTGGAACCGGTTCGAACCGGTTCAAAGACTTATTATCGTTTCCGCTATATTAGAGAAAATAAAGTTGAATGATAAGAATGATCGGAATCAATTAGCATTTGTGACCTTTGCTTGCTCCAGTCACTGATAGTGACAGAAAGTGGCGTTATGTGTGCTGTACTGTCTATCTTGTTTTAAGCTGACTTTTGCAACACGTTTCTCAATTGTTATGCTGACAAGACGAAAGCTGACGTAGAAATGTAGCCTGATTATTATTTTTCCCAAAATATATATTGCTAATTCAAATATTTCCTAATATCAAAGAAAATTAAAAAAAAACAAATAATCTGTACCCTAGCATTTATTTAATTATTCAAAGTTTCAATTTAATCTGTATCATTTTAGTAGTAATTACATACTACAAAGCTCAAATATACTATATTTCTTGATATCCACCATACTGTACTAATTACTTATCTAAGGCTAAGCTAATAACTTACTTATCAGAGCTATTTCAGGCATCTCGCCTTACAATAACACTACAACTTGTTTATATCGCCATATATTCTTAATGTAATTTAAACGGCATCTTAATTATACAAGAATCGATCAATAAATTCATAACCTACATCAAACTAATCATCATTAAGTTTTGTTTATTCTGTGTCTATTTTTAGACGTATTTAAAACTGTTATTTTTTTAATTACAGGTAATTCTGGACAACCTTATCACTGCATGGGGCTTCAACGGGCTCATTTCACACTTTGATTACGTCAGAAGGTACTACCAAGCTCGTCGTGATTTCACTGTAGCTTCCATGGAACGTCACTTGAAGAATCTCTGCGAATGGTCCATTCCAACTGGAGGAATGTTCGTTTGGATCAAGGTACATGGTGTAGCTGACGTTTACGACATGTTACTGTCTCGTGGTTTGAAGAAGAACATCACCTTCGTACCTGGACACGCTTTCATGGCTGACCCTACCAAAGCTTGCAACTATATCAGAGCTTCCTTCAGCAAGACTCCCCTGAAGCAGATTGACAAGGCTATGAAGCTGTTGGGGGAATTAATCAAGGAAGAGCACTTGTTGTTGCGAAGGAAGTTGGATGGGTTAGAGAATAATATACTTAGATAGTACACTGGAATAATCGACAAACAGGTGTCTTAAACGCTGTACATATTCATGTATATACCACCGGTACTCTTAGCTTATCCGGTTTAGTAACAAGCCAAACAAGGGAAGGATAAATCTATGGAGTACTTTTATCCACCATCATTTAGATATGGGGTTTAAAACATATTTTTTCTTTTTTTGTTAATTATAAGTTCTAATAAATTTGAAGAGGTACAAAGTGCAAGAAGTATTGCACAAGAGATTGAGGAGGAGAGATTAGAATAACACGAGTTGAAATGAAGAAGGAGCATTTTGCACTCGCTAGTTTGTAATAATTTAAAATAATATTCTTTGTAAATATACATCATGAGTTAGAATCATTTTTGGAGAAATAAAGAGAAGTTTAGAAATATTATATGGTATTATTTGTTTTCCATTAATCACTTTCAAAGTAAATAACTATAGAATAGTCAACTATGTCTCAGAACAACATATGAATTGGGAAAGGAACTAGATAGTGAATATATCCAATCTACCACTTCATCCCTAGTTTAGATAAAGATATAAAAAAAATATCTAAAATCTATGCTATTATAAGTATGACTGGATCATAGACTTAAAATAAAATATAGACTGAGCATCTCATTCATAAATAGCTGGAACATGCGGTCAGACAATGTCTTGTTATTGTTGTGTTATTGTTTAAGGTTATAACGAGTGCGACAAGAGCGATAGATAGGTTGTCTCTGTCGTAACGGTCATTCCCTGACGACTCTGACGAGAAACGCAACACTGTCTTTCGTTTCTCAAGTACACCTGAACTCTCCGTATCATAGCCGGGTAATTTTTTTTATTTTAATAAAGCTATAATTAAATTAAAAATATATCGTATTTAAACTTTTTTATATTTTATTAAGATTTAGGAGAGGTTTTTTGCAATAAAAGTTTAGAAAAAACGATTTAGAGTCCAAAAAATGAAAACTACATTTATTTAACTCGGTACAGTCTTTATTATACCGGGTGCGTCCCAAAAGTGGCTCATCCCCATAATTTTTTTTCAAATAAAAAAATAATATTTAGTATGTAATATATGACATAAATTAGGATTGATTGACGTATTCAATTGTTTTTGGTCACTTCCTGTTTCAACGGAAATAAATATAACTTTTAATTTTTAAATGGCACCCTTGGTATATTTCTGCTTTATTCGATAGAAAATGACACTCTGAATAGAATGACATATCATATGTCAACTTTTGACATTTTCGCATATGGTTTAATTGTAATTGTAACACGCGGTTCATAACGATAATTTGACTCGAAATACCAAGTGTGTGGTATCAATATATTTATAAAAAAATGCTTTTTCCATATATGCTAATGAGTCATTCTTGTTCCATTTGAATAAATTGACATATGATTAAAAATACGATTTGTACATCTTTTAACCGGCCTAGACAAGACATGAAACCCATTAGTCGATCAAAACTATTTTTCCAAGGCTCCTTGATTAAAACTTAGTGATTTTAACAACACCATGGCACCCTGGATTGAAATTTAAAATACGATTTGTTTTTAAGCGACAATGTCAAAAGTTGACATATGATATGTCATTCTATTCAGAGTGTCATTTTTATCGAATAAAGTAGCAATATACCGAGGGTGCCTTAAAAAATCAAAAGATGTAATAATTACCGATGAAACACGAAGAAACCTAAAACATCTGAATACGTCAATCAATCCTAATTTATGTCATATACCTACTGCCATACAAATCTGTTTTTCTATCTGAGAAAATAAAAAAGTTATAGGGGTGAACCACTTTTGAGACACACCCGGTATATTAAAAAATATTGTTTCATAATGTAATATCATTTTAAAATTCTTGTATGTTATTTTAGATTCTTTAGATAATTTTAGAATAAACCGGAATATATTTTTAATAAAAACATTATTAATTATTAACAGGGTTATAATAATTATGATTTTGTTACAAAAACATTTATATAAATGATTATGTAAGACAAAAAATTCAGATTTGACATTTTACTTAAATATTATCTAAATAAGCGCCTTTCTATAACAACGCCACTGACCCCCAATGGGTAAATTGAGAGTTGCCTACCGATCGAAAGTCGTTTCAAGACTTTTTAGAAGTCGTTTCAAGACAATTTTATGGAAGCATTACTGTTATGAAAACACACTTTCTGGTAATTTTTTCACTTTTATAAAATGAGTGTAAGGGGTTGAAATAAACTACCCTTATCATTCTTGTTAATGAAATTTAAAGAAAAATCTTATCAAACACATGCAAAAAAATTAATTTGGATAGTTTAGTTTGTTTAGAAACTTTTTTATCTCTTGTGTTTTTTTGATAAAACTCACCGATTTGAAATTAAAAAATAAAATGTAAAGCATTACATGTGAGGACAAAAGTGGGCTACTGTAATTTTTTTAGGAAAAAATCTATTCGACCGCTGTCACTTTTTAGGATGTTACTAATATTATTTTATTTGATATTACTCTACTGCAATACGTTATTATCTTACGATCAATTAATTATTCCTAAGCCTTTTTTCTTAAAAATGTTTTTTGTCCTGACATGGGGGTAATGCTTTACATTTTATTTTTTAATTTCAAATCGGTGAGTTTTATCAAAAAAAACACAAGAGATAAAAAAGTTTCTAAACAAACTAAACTATACAAATTATTTTTTTTGCATGTGCTTGATAAGATTTTTCTTTAAATTTCATTAACAAGAATGATAAGGGTTGTTTATTTCAACCCCTTACACTCATTTTAAAAAAGTGATAAAATTACCAGAAAGTGTGTTTTCATAACAGTAATGCTTCCATAAAATTTCATTAGTCTATCTCTTTTCGTGTTCAAGATAAAAAATAAAAACATTATTTTTCCGCCATCTTTGTACCGCGATATCTCCCTAATGGTTGACTTTTTACCAAACGTTTATAAAGCAAACTACCCTTTATTTTTAACAAGGAATCACTCCCTGAAGTTTTTCGCATTTGTTTTGAAACACCCTGTATAATGTTCATATACCTTTCGGTTTCTTAAGTAGAGCTCTTTAAAAATTTAAAAATTAAGAATTCTATTATAGTCCCATTTAAAAAAATTAGTTATCATGACGATGTCGTTTAAAAAAATTATCTTTTCAATGCCCAAGCAGCATTTGGACGTCGGGACAACGTTGTGTCACGCGACCAAACGTCGGGGCGCAACGTCGGCACAACCTCGTGCCGACCCTAGTCTGCACTAGTTTGGAGAATAATTTTTGGGTCGAAACGACGTTGGATACCTACGTTGGCTAGTAGCCTAATTCAGTACAAGCTGCAACGTTGTTTAAAATCCTAATTCACAGAAATACAAAACTATAATAATATGGCGTCTAAGTCGCATATCCTAAATTGGGATAATTACAGTAAAAATATTATTTTTATGATTTAGTAAGACATAGGCCAGATGGCAGTAAAGGAAAACAAAACAAAAGTATTTAAGTGTGGATGATGTTTGAAGATTATAATTATTGAAACACTTTAACCAACTCTGTAACTCGTTACCCAAGGCAAAAAAGTTAAACGCAAACAACATTATTGATAAATGTATTGTTTCTACTTTGAAAAATACTAATGGGCCTTAAAATTAAAGAAGTTTTAAAACATTTCTTGACATTTTTTTTTAGTAAAATGAAAATAATTTATTCGCAATCAAAAAAAAATGTTTCCGCGTGTTGTTTAGGGTCAAATATTTCAAGTTAATGTATTCAAAAAGCAGGAATTGCTATTTTAGGAACGAAACATTTTCTTATTCAATAACATGGCGGCTTTCAGTTTGTTGTTTTGGAGATTAAGATGGAGTAGTTCGAGTAGTCGCATACCCTGGACTAATAAAGTCGCAGTTCAGCCTTAACAGGTAGTAGGTATACTAGTCGCAAGATTGCCTAATTTAATCATCCTAGAGTCTAGCTTGTGCCGCCCTCTATATTCTAAATAAACGAGGGAGTGGATAAAATATCGGTAATATGCCGATGTATATTTAAATTTAGTTTTATATGTGCCTTCCTTACGTCCCATTTTAATTAAGTTTTTTTTTATAAAAACAAAACAACACTGAACTGTCTGACTGAACAGAACAATGAAGTGAAAATTTAAGATTTAAGGTTATGGTTCAACACAGTTGCAAAAAGGTAGTCGCTCGACGTCCTACCAACGTAAGAATAAGGAAATCTAAACAACGTTGGAATTAGTAAAACAGACGACGTTTGTATAACGTTGGAATAGGTCCTGAAAGTGACTTTGGAAAACTCTTTGTTGCCCAACATTATAACTACGTTGTCCGAATCACCTAAAGATCACTTAAGCAAAAAAGGTTACAAGACAACGTTTATTCGACGTCGCAGAAGCTTTTACTTTGTTGTAGTACTAGTTCAACGTCGGCACAACGTTACAACAACGTTTACATTTATTTTAATACCCAAGGTACGGAGCTAACTATTTTTTGTAACTAATCCAACTCATCAATTTAATATATAAAACATAATTATTCTTTCTCTCAATACTACCAATTTTTAAGTTTGCATAAATAAATAAAAATAAAATAAAATTCTATGATGTAACTCCATAGTAATAAATAAAAAAACATATACTTATACATTATGTCATTACGTTGAATGCTGTTATTTTTGCTTTAGTTTTGTCCTAAATATTCTTGAGTTATGTTTTTATCCCAGAGATAACATATATTTACAAACTGGGTTAGGGTATTATGTAAATTAGGGGGGGGGGGACAAATAGACGCAACTAAAATTTTGTCGCCTACCCAGTCACAAGGGTCACGAGCCGCCACTGGAACAAACCTTAAAACTAGACTAGGAAGACACATAAACTTCTTCTAAATTCTTCAAAAACGCTGATGAGATTACATATCATATAGGCATGTATTGAGGTTGTGAGAAGACATTTTTTACATCTCAAAGTTGTTTTGTTAATGTTATCCATGCAGAATGAAATAATGTAAACTCTGGTCTTATTTATAACCGTTTGCCCTTTGGTACTCCGATAAGAAACTAGTTATTGTTATTGCTCAGCGAAAAAAATACGGATTTAGAAATCAAAAATGTCATAAAGCGATATTTTTTCGTTAGATAACGAACAAAAATTATTAATTAGAGATAATTAGTTAATTATGTTGCACAACGATTTATGAGTGTTCCGATTTATCGTTGGCTTATTTGCGTAACGAATGTATGTATGTCGAATGATACAAATTATTTATTAAAAATCCTTCACCAAATTGTCAAGAAAAATGGTGTTTGAATATGTTAATTTATAAAATATGTTTTATTATATAATAACGGCTCTAAGTTTAACTGCATTTTGCTACTTTACTTTAAATTAC